AAAAAAAAAAAAAAAAAAAAAACACGAGTTATAATTGCACAATGGGCCAAGACACAGTTTGCAATTGCACTTGGGGCACCCTACATGGCATATCTGCTCATACCAGCACCCCTAGCACCGCCCGGTTTTCCAAAAAACAAAAAAAAAACTGTACCTGGCCAGAAAGCTAGGTTGACATGTATACATTGCCCGAACTGCAATTCGAAACTGTATCTTGGCCCGTAGTGCAATTATAACTAATTTTTGTGCCTCCGTGTAGTTCCCCCCCTCCCAAAAAAAAGCAAGAGGCACCTCCAATTTGTAGATGTCTCAGATCTATAGGTGGGAAGCTGCACCTGCTGGAAACCGGCTCCAGCGGTGCCCCCCGCCTCTTTTTTTTTTTTTTTTTTTTTTTTTTTTTAAGCTCAGGGGGTTGTAGAGGCCAAGGACTAGACGCTGGCAGCGGCAGCCGAAGTCCCAGTTAACAAGATAACCGAAGACAGGAGCAGAGTAGATTGTAACTCTACTTGGGTGAAGGTGGTAGATTTTTCCCTTCCTTTTCTCTGTTACCTACTCCTTGGCACGAACCACATTAATTTTAATTCGTGAAACTACGCCTGAGTCACAAAAATGAGTTAGGGAGGGGTCCCACTGGCTGGCTGTAGCTGGCGGCCAGGAAAGAATCTGCCAGCACAAATCGTAGTTGAGGGGAATGGGCAAGAGAAATGGGACTCCAGTCACTCCACTGCCACAACAATTTTTGGCACTTCCCAAGGTTTCTTGCCTTTTAGAGCAAGTTTGCCTCTGCAGCTCTGCTTTCTTAGCACACCAACCAATCCCGGTGCCTCCTTTCCGCACGGGATGGCTGGTATGCTGACGGACAGTACACACTGGCCAGCGTACCAGCAATCCCGGCGTGTGGAAAGGAGGCACGGGGATTGGTTGGTGTGCCATAAAAGCGGAGGTAGGCCGAGTGGAAACAAAAGTGCTTGCGTTTGCTGCCAGCAGTGGGGTCTCAAAACATTTCTTCGAAAGGTTGGTGGCCAGCTACAGCCAGCCAGTGGGGTCCAAGCCTTATAATTGCACTATGGGCCAAGATACAGTTTTGAATTGCAGTTCGGGCAATGTATACAACCCAGCTTTTTGGCAAGGTAGGGTGCCTGAAGCGCAATTGCAAACTGTATCTTGGCCCATAGTGCAATTATATGAGTTGGACCCCACAGGACTGCGGAAAGGAAAAGCTTTGCCGCAAAACTGTTTCCAGGACCCCACAGCCTGCGGCAGATGTCCACGGAAAGTTGAAATTTCTCCCGCAAACCGTTTTCCCAGACCCCACAGACCGAAGATTGCGGCTTGGAAAAACGTAGTTTTCTGTTTTCACATAGTCCGCAGCCTGGAAAGGTCTCACGGGAGGATTCCTCGCCACAATTTTGTGCCAACTCTAGAGGGTAGGGGGGAGGGCGTGTCTTTCCTGGAAAGGTCTTGGAAAAGTCTCACGAGACGCGGGACACAGTAGCGACCAAGAGTGCCACAAAAAAAAAAGGAAAAACAAAGGAAACAAGAACAAAACAAATGAGTGCCGACGGAGAAAGGCAACCATTGGCTCAACTGATTCCCAAAGGGTTTCCACAGCGCATTTGGTCCTCCGCGGTGGGGTCCCCACAGAACTGCTTTCCAGATTTCCAACATTCCTTGCCCCTTTTTTTTGGCCGGACGGTTTTTCCACCCTTTTTCCTGTGGGGTCCAACTCTAACTCGCTATTGTGACTCTACTGAAGTTACCCCTTTATATATTATCACAATTCTTTTTTTTTTTTTTTTTTTTTTTAAATTATTATTATCACAATTCTAACCAGGGCCCACCGACCCACGTTGACCGGACCAGAACACCCTTTTATTATAGCTGTATTTTTTTAGGCAACTTTCAGGCAGAACACAGATGCCATAATGACGGCGCATTCTCGTTTTTTGGGGGGAGCGGGGGGTTAACTATGGCGCAGTCACGTAAACAGTTTGAAAATGCACATCATGCAGTCACCCGAACATAACACACCCCCACGTGACCCGGCCGGACCCGAAACGTGGCTTGTAATACATTCGACCCGAAATCATGCGCCATAGTTTTCTCTTCTTTCTTTTTTTCTTTTRTTTTTGTTGTAGAGGCTGGCTAGCAGCCTAGTAGCAGGCATATGACAGGCCCGTCAGCAACTGTCCATTTGATCATCCCGATGTATTGCCTAACCGCTCCCCTATGAGACACCCTCCCACCCTTACTCATCATGACAAAGATCTCCGCCGCATCCCTACTCCCAAGGTCCTACCTAAGTATACCCAGGATTATCCGTACTACCTTCTTAACTAGAATAGAACGCCCGGCTATTATAGCTGTATCTGGACTGAAAAGTGCACCAAATATGGCTATAATGACCAGGCATTCTATTTGGGTGAAGACCGCAGGGTGAAGATGGTCGTTTTTCCCTTGGGGCAAGTACAGCATTCAGAACTTCAGAACAATCAACTTCAGCAATAATTCCTGAAATGGAGCCAAAAAGGCGACCCTACCCTAAATCTGCCAAGAGCCACTGCAGGT